TTCTAGAAGCAATGCAGCCCAGCTAACACTTTGATTTCAGCTTCATGAGACTCCAAGCAGAGAACCAGTTGAGCTATAGTCTACCAACCCCCACATAACTATGAGATAATAATGCACATTCAGTTTGTGTTAATTTGGGTTAGGAATAGAAAAATAATATATTTTCCTTCATAAGAAAACTAGGCAAATAAAAAATCACAATATCTGACCCATAAAACAAATCTTGAGAATCTCAAAGGATTCAATTCATACAGAAAATGTTATCCAATTGCAATGCAAATGAGATATACATGGTAAGCAGATATAACTAAAGCAACTCATTGGTTTATAATTTCAGAGATATACTTCTAACCAGGAGCCAAATAGGAAATCATGCAACTTACTCAGCAAAAAGAGAAAAAATTAAAGTTTTAAATGCTGATAAACCTTAGAGAAACTTCCAGATAAGTATGTACAAGTCAACTTCTGCAAGAATGTTGATGAAAACACACTGGACTGATCATAGACAACCCAAATGCCCATCAACTGTAGAATTTATAAATTTAGTGTGGTGTATTTATTGCAATAGATTCCTATACAGCAGTGGTTCTCAAAATGTGATCCATGGATGTTTGAAGGTCTTTAGGCACTTTTAGGGGTTCTACAAGATCACTGAACTAGCCACTTTTTCATGGAACACCTCTTTACTGGAGTGACTGACATAAATGTTAATCACATCTGTATGTCTGGCATATATTTTTTGAAACACACACACACACACACAAACATCCCCACACCCACGCATATACACATGCAATGAACCTGAATTGTTACTTGAAGGGAAAACAACTGACAGGATCTGTTGTTAATGATGAAATCTGAGTTTACAAGTAAAAAAAAATAGAATTTTGGAAAGCTTCAATCCATTACTGTAAGCTTTAAAGTTTCTCCAAGTTTAATGACTTTTCTAATGAGATCAGTAGCAATAAAAATAAATGTGATTTTTTGATAGTTTATAATAAAATGTAACATTTGGAAGATCTAACTCAAATGATCAATGCTTGTTAAATGTTGCCTGGATAAAAAGGACCCATTATAAGAACAAGGTGAAGCAATGAATTTTAATGCTACACAATACAACAATTAATTGATATGGCTTAAATTCAACATCGAAACTAACTTGTGAAGTTTTTGTGTAGTATCAAAAAAGAGCATCCACTTTAATCTGCAAAGGCTATTAGAAATAGCTTCCCTTTTCCAACCACACACTTAAGTGAGGCCAGAGTTCTTCATATCAATCAACCAAAATAATGTAATCCAAAATATTGAATAAAGAAGTAGATTTGAGAATCCAAATAATTTCTGCTAATAGACCAGATATTAAAACGATTTCTAAAAAACAAAATACAAGGCATTCTTTTCATTTCTGTTTTGGAAAAGATACTTATCTTGAATTGAAATATGATCGACGTAAACATGTAATGTGCCTATTCTGGTTATTTTTAAATTAAGTAACAAATGCACACGTAAAAAAACAGTTCTCAGTTTTATTTTAAATATTGGGGCGCCTGGATGGCTCAGTCAGTTGAGCAACTGATTTTGGTTCAGGTCATGATCTCACGTTTCGTGGGCTCAAGCCCACGTCAGGTTGTGCTGACAGCTTGGAGCCTGGAGCCTGATTCAGATTCTGTGTCTCCCTCTCTCTCTGGCCCAGTGCTACTCACATTCTGTCTGTCGGTCTCTCTCAAAAATAAACAAAACCTTAAAAAAAATTTAAATATGGCACATGTTGATAAACCCCACAAAATCTTTTTGGGGTTCTTAATAATTTTTAGAGTATAAGCACACCTGAGACAAATGAGAGTTACTGTTATACAGCAATGAAATATATGGTAATTTCAATGTAGATTAATCCTGTACAATGTTGGGCAAAAATAGCAATTACTGTGTATTTAAAAAGGTATAATTCCATTGCATAAAATTACTAATTCTTATTCTAATATTAATAATAAACATGATAAAGTAAAGAACATAAAAGGCAATTCATAGAAAAATTAAAAAGTATGTACTTTCATTAATTTTAGAAAAACTATATTCCATGTATGTGGTTTTCTTTAATTCTTAATTTCTCTTTTCTGGTTTAGAAAAAAGTATCAGTTGTAAATTAATTACATAACCAAGCTTGTAACTATATCCAATAAAGTATTAGCAAAATAAGCACTACATTTTGGTAAAAAATCAAATATTTGTTTTGTAAAATATGCAATATAACCAAAAAGCAATTTGCATCTATTAGTTTTAATAGAACTAATTGAAATTTTAGAATATGATAAGGCAAAAAAATCACATCATTTGTAGACTCTTCAGTTTCAAGATGTCATATCTGGATCACATTTTTCCTTTAATATTAAATTTTAGTAAATACCACTCTTTTTATATATTCTAAACTATCAGGAAAAAAATTTACTGACAAAAATATCTTCTGCATATTCAGTTGTTAAAATCAGGAGCAAAAGATACCTAAACACACACACTCTCACAATTCATTTCCCAAAGTCTAAATTGATCAGTATTTTCATATAGATGACATACGTACTAGATACGATAGTTATGCACATTCATATATATGTAAATAACCATATATATACCTACAGGAATTGTTTTTGATGAGTGAGCTTTAATCAACATAAATTTGTTTATAAACCCTCACATACACACACATACACACTTATTTATACAAAGCTTGGGGATTTGATAAAATGACTTTTAATGCTCTTTCAACTCTATTAGGTAAAATGTCTATAACACTAACAATTAATTTCGTTTATGTTTTTAGGTTAACAGGATTCCATCTGCCACCGCCAGTGACAAGTACCAAATCTGTGTTCTCACTACGTTTGACCAGTGATTTTGCAGTTAGCGCTCATGGGTTTAAAGTATATTATGAAGGTAAGTGATATTAACATAAAATGACCACTGCCCAGTGTAATGGAGTCAAACCAAACTTCTCTGGGGTGGAAATGGTAGAAGAATCACCAGACAGGAAAATATTATTTATCCTGTTAGCTCAAATCTTATCCTGAGGGTCACGTTAATCATCATTAACATACAATAAAATGATGGAATTGGTAGGCTTTAATGTTTCAGTTGCAGTGTACCTGAAGAGAGGAAAATCTTTCCCTTAAGTCTTCTTAGGAGATGAGACCATGAAACGATTATGGGGTTAGACATTCCCAAAAGTGAACCGAATATGAGAGTAACAGGAAATTAGGTATGATTTGAGATTCAGGCATCAGACTCCACCCTATTTTCCTGTGTATTTTGCCTCTCTGCCAGAAAATAACCTGGTAATCTGTCTTCTCTGCAAGTTAAGAGTCAAGAAAACCAGTCTATTAAGAGACATGAGTTTATGTCTTCCATTCTAAGCCAGACTTTACAGTTCCACATATCCATAATCCCTAAAACCATAAAGTGTTACCTAAAACCATACCTAAATACCTAAAACCATAAAGGAAAACCAAGAAGTTCTTGACACTAAGGTTTTACCTGGAAGTTGGTACAAACTCATTTTGGCATCAAAACGTGACCGGAACTAACTGGAGGCCACTAATAACCTCTATTTATCCCACATAGTGTGGGTACTCAAGTTTCATTCTGCAAAGATTGTTTGATAATTCAGTGTACCACAGGCTCTGCTGATGGCGTTAAAAATGTATAGAATCTGCATGTGTTCCCTATTTACAATGTGAAAAAAATTCTGACGGTAAAAATACTCCATTCCCAAAGGTCTCAGATGGAGTTCATGGACTTGTAATTACTTCTTTAAGTTGCACCTAGTTTAGGGAAGACTCCCTCCCTACCTACAGGAATAGCATATCAGATATCAACTCACCTCCCAAGGGGACCATATTACCAGAATGCATCACACGAGATGTAAAATTATCATAACAGATACATAAATACAGTAGCAGGGGTGGTTACTTTCTAAATCACATTATAATTCAAAATATGATATGTTTAAAGAGCACACTGGAAAACAGATATAAAGTAGACTTGCTTTAGTATAAAGGTTAACAGTTTGCATGCGAGGAAAGTTTTAAAACAAACATTTCATCTTAGTGCTATCTTTCTCACTAGAAAAAAATCCTCTAGCAAACAAATGAGTAAAAATATTTTCTCCCTTTTATACCCTAAATAATGACACATCACAGCAGTTTTTACACTATTTTCTACCTAATACATTTCTTAACTATCTTTTGTCTAGCAGTGGAGGCTGAGTTCTAACACTTATTTTCCTCCGTTGTGCTAGTAATAATCCTTATTTTTCTAAGGTGATTTCACAATAATTGAGTATTTTATCTTGGCAACTTAATTCATAGTTTAAAACACTACAAACACAAAGGTTTAATTTTAAGTATAATTTTGGCAATATTGAAGGAGTTAGTAATACAATAATTTTCCATTAGAGGCTCCTTAATAGAAAACCCGTACTCTGTTCATCAAAATATAAATATATTTTAGGCTGGTTGATTCTTTCAGTAAGTACTAAGTATACTAAAAATGTAGTAGCTTGGAACATGAGTTAAGATGTTGCCGAGTTTTCTGGTTTGGCTGTCAAGTGTCATGAAATACACTCAAAACTATTTTCAAAGCTCTCTATTCTTTCTAGATGCACAACATTAAATTTCTGTCTTTTCTGCTTTTCAAGTGTCATGAAATACACTCAAAACTATTTTCAAAGCTCTCCATTCTTTCGAGATGCACAACATTATATTTCTGTCTTTTCTGCTTTGTAAAAATGTATTCATATATCTTTATGACACTTAAATGTTTTGGAGGTCCTGACTTAAAATATAAGGTATTAGACGTCCATATAGTATTGAGGGATTGGTATTCATGCTGCAGAACATCTTCAAGCATTGATTTGTGATAGTACATTCCACCATGTTTACTAGCTTTCTATTGGTACTTAACAAATGAACACAAATTTAGCATCTTAAAACAAAAATATACTAACTCACAGTCCTGGAGCTGAGAAGTCCTGGTGATCTCTGCTAGTTTCTCCGTTCAGGGTCTCGCAAGGCTGAAATAAAAATGTCAGCTGGTTGGTCTCTTATCAGAAGGCTCTGGAAAGAAACTAGTGCCCATTGGTCCTGAAGACCTCTCTCTTCCTTGTTCTTGGGCTCTAAGTGTGAGAGCCAGCAACTGCTGCACCGTATCTTTCTCATTGTTGAAATCTCTCTGATTTCCCCTTCCCCATGTAAAATTTGCTAAGCTTAATTACATTTGCAAGGTTCTTTTTGTCATGTCCTGTGACATATTCAGCGGTTCGAGAGATATTGGGAGGTAACAGGTGGGAGGGGAGAGAAGATGGGCGTCATTTACCCTACCACACTAGTTAACATTTTCTAGAGGGGGTAGCTCTGAGTTGTTATTAATTTAACCATGGCCAACGATACTGTCAAGGCCAGCAGGTGTGGTGGCCTCTCATTCTCATATCCTCTTGGCTATGTTCCAGGCCCCACAGTGAATGCCTAAAAACGTGGATAGTACCAAACTCTGTATATACTTTATTTTCTCTTACACATACATACTGAAGTTTAGTTTATAAATTAGGCATAGTAAGAAGTTAACAATAAAATGAATAATTATACTAATATACTGTAACTAAAGTTACGTGAACTTGAGAGCGCTCGCTCTCTCAAAATATTGTACTATACTCACCTTCCTTATGACGCTGTGAGATGATAGAATGCCTACGTGACCAAGTGAGGGGAATGACGTAGGCACTGTAGTGTAGAGTTATGCTACAATTGAACCTCTGATGATTCGTCAGAAGGACCGTTGGCTCAGAGACCACAGTTCACGCCAGGTAACCTAAACCGACGATAGCGAATCTGCAGAAAGTGAAACTGGAGATAAGGCAGGACTGTCATACAGTGACGTCCAGGAAATGTAGTTAAAAGTTTCAAAGCCCGTTTTTCACACCCTTACGTTTTTTTAATGTTTGGTTATTTACTTTGGGGGGTGAGGGGATAGGCGTGCGTGCGCGTGATAATGTAAGTGGGCGAGGGGCAGAGAGAGAGGGAGAAAGAATCCAAAGCAGGCTCTGCTGTCAGCGCAGAGCCTAACAGCAGGACTTGATTCCACAACCTGTAAGATCATCACCTGAGCCAAAATCAATAGTGGGTGGCTTAATTGGCTAAGCACTCAGGTGCCCCAACACCCCTACGTTTTGAATCCAAGCTATCATACCACAATTACCTCAAATTCCAACTCTGGACCCTACTGAATCTACTAATCCGGACATTTCCTCTAAATTTACACCTGCCTGATTTTTTATGTTTTCATTTTATTTTTCAGATGATCCTAATATCTGAATCTCATTTATTTTCATTCCATTTTCCTGTATATAATCATTTACAGTTTTTTTAAATTAAAGTGTGGTTGAGACATGCTGTTACATTAGTTTCAGGTGTACAACATAGTGATCCAACAAGCTTATAGACGCTGTGCTCATCACACGTATAGTTACCATCTGTCACCATACAACCCTATTAGAATACCGTTGACTGTATTTCTTATGGTTTACCTTTCATCTTAATCTTTTAAAATGTCCTTAAATCTCGTCCTTGTGTATTAGAATTTATGAGATTTCTATTTATTACTAATAGTTGTGAATTTATCTGTGTTTCTCAATCTGCCGACACTGGACCACACATATATCAGAACCATCTGGATAATTTGTTAAATGTAAAATATAGAATTCTTGGCTCCAATTACATATCCTGAATCACACTGTGGAGTGAAGTCCTAGAATATGCATTTCAATTCCAATTGCAAATCCAAAATAGAATAAATAAATGATAAATGTAAGTCAGTCTCTGATCTTCACAGATCCCAGTTTTTAAAATCCTTTATTGTCCTATTACAGCCCATTTACTTAAAAACTGTCCCTGTTTCCTAAATTTTGATCAGGTTGACTTGAAACATTTTTCTTTTAAACTTCTTGAAGTCCAAGTTGTGAGTTGTTAAATTTCTGTGGAAAATTTCCCCATTAAAACTAGCTGTATATATCTTTATCTTTTCTCATTACTGTCTATCATACACCTCTATATCTTGTCACTATTTCCCAAAGTCTGTTTTACAGGACTTTTGTTTCATTTGTTTATGTTAATAAAAATAAATGAGTAAAATAGTGTTCTATGAAACAATAAATTTGAGAAAAACTAATGTATACCATGTTGGATAGTCATATAACCATTTTTCAAAATTTGATTGAGATAAACCTGATTAAGATGTGTTCTACAGAACACACAATGAGAAATGTGCTTATATCTTTTCTAAATCTGCCAAACAGCTCAAAATATATTCCAGTTTCTACTAAAAAGCTATTTTGTGTAATAGAATTATTTTGCATTTTGCTTCAAAGATGCATAATCATTCTTTATAGGTAAAAGAGCATATAGTTACATACTATGGGATATTTTACCCTTTTAGAATCATTTATTGTGGAAACAAAGTAATATAATGAAAGCATATTGTGGATCATGTATATATAAATATTACATATATGATAGTAAGTGGTTACTCTAATGTTTATGAGAATCTCAATAAATAATTTCAGCATAATCAGTGAGCCAATTCAATGATCAGAAACAGACTTAAAATTGCAGTCTTGAAAACTCACTTCAAACACAAGGTAGTTGTTATGCCTTAATGATTATTGATCTGTATGACCAAGTAATTAAGAAAACATAGGGTTAAAATGTTCACCTTTAGAAAATATCCAGTTAAATCATTTTCACATTTTAATTCAGATGTACAAAATTTGGCTAATAACACTACTATTACTAGGTAACATTTACTGAGTTATTTCTTTGGGCCAATCACAGTGCTAAACATTTTACAAGTATTTTCTCACCCTAGAAAATTATATGAAAAATGTAATGAGCAATAATTTAACAAAAAATTCAGGTTAATTTAAAAATATGTTTAAATGACCTACAAATGTAAACCCATAAAAATATGTTTAAATCATCTACAAATGTAAACCAGACCTACAAATATAAACCCATAAAGATATGTTTAAATTATCTACAAATGTAAACCATATACATTTTTGAGACATTTTATATCTAACTATAAACCGTAATTCCATTTATAGTTAAATGGATATGATCACATAGAGTTTAGTACAAAGAGTATTAAAAAATAAAAATTACTGATAATGTATATTAAAACAATATGGACATAAAAGCTGAAATGTATTCTTATTTATTTATTTACTTAATTATTTGAAAGAGAGAGAGAGAGAGAGTGCAAGTGGGGGAGAGGGGCTGTGGGAGAGAGAGAGAATCTTACTTTTAGGTTCCACACTCAGTGCAGACCTGATCCCAGAACACTGGGATCATGACCTGAGCGAAAATCAATAGTTGGATGCTCAAAGGGCTGAACCACCCAAGAGCCCCCATTCTTGTGTATATTATATGTGACCTATATATTCTTTGTCCTTTTTAAATACTTGACATACAAATGAATATTTATACTACTTACTATTCTGTTTAACTATCTGTCACAGATGTTTACTAAAAGTTTATCCTTGAGAACAAAAAAAATGACATTAGTGATTTTTAATTTTAGGGGTTCTTTTCAATTCCTAAGCTTTAAAAATTTAAATTGCAGTACCATGAAATTTCATAAAGAGTTTATAAACTAGGATCAAGTTAATTATACTTCTGACCAGACAGTTGAATTGTAGCAAGAGAAATTTATGTAATTAAATCACATATATTAAACAGGTTGGTAGCAATAAAGGTAAGTTGGGTTCATAAAAGAAGTTAATGGATCATCACCTTTAATACTTCTAAGAATAAATGAAAGATATTACATTAAAAAAACCCACAGATGTCATACATGTAAAGACATTTTCTCCTCTTGATCAAATTCAAATCTTTTGCCTTTCACATTTCATAGTCAACCTACTTAGGCACAGAAACATCCTAATCCTAAACTGACCTTCTAAGTCATGATTGTCTTTTCTCCCTTTTAAAGAGTTGGAAGTGTTCAAAATCCCAAATTAGAGAATGACACCTTTTTCATAAATATCATCTACAGAATGAAGTTAAAGGATACAGTATTATAATAAATTGTGGATGGCTTTAAACAAGAGTTTATTAAATTTTGAGTTGTTTTACCTCTATTATCCAGGAAGATATAAATCACTTTCATGGTGCTCACAACAAAGCTTCAATAGTACTATCAATTTGTAAATGCTTTCAGACTTTTCAATATTTCAGCACAGTGTAGCATACACAACCTCCACAGCTACATGGTTTTCCAGTATTCTCACCTATTACCTTAATTCATAAAATAGTCACATGAACATGAATTAAATTTCTACATGTGCTATGCTATTTAAACTCTTCTACAGTACATCTCTGTCTCTTATGCCCTGAACACCTGTACACTTCTTTGTGACCCATGAATTTCTTATTCTTCCAGACTTGGTGCAAGCCTTAATCATTTCTGGAAAGTCATTTAGGGAATCTAGAATTGAGCCCAAAATGTTCAATGATGTTTTTTCTATGTGCTCAGATATGTACACACCTTGCCACAATACTATATATTACCATTTTGTGTGATTTTGCTCACACTAGGCTATGAGAAGCTTAAGGGTATAGAATCGATTTTACTTATTTTGCAAACATGCCTGTTGGCATATGGAAAGTAGTTACTACATCTTGTAAAACTCACCTGATATATAGGATATCTAATAATTTCATCAGTAGTGAGGACAAATTTAATGCATCTCCCACTTTCCAAGAATTAAAACGCCACTCGGTGTCTTAAAGGGCAGATGTAGGCTATGTTTAACCACTTAGAACTTGTGATATTAATTGATATTTACCTGGAAAAGGTAAGATTTAGTGAAATTTAAGGACTTTTCTTTGAAAAAGCCATAAATGTTAGGTAACATTATTTTTCTTTTAAGCATATTTTCTTTGCTGAAAAATCTTTGCTTTCTTGAAGTAAATAGTTTCTTTATGAAGTATTTTTAAAAACATAAAACCGCTCATATAGGATAAAAGGAATATTAAGATGAACATGAAAAATTGCTAGAACCAGTGATATACAAACTATTTAATCTTTGTGCCTCATGTGGAAAAAATAGGATAATGTTGAAGATTGTATTCTATTCCCCAGAAATTAAATTATTAAACTTCTCGTTTCACATTGAATTTCTTTCTTTCATATATGTTGCTAAATGTATTGTGTATGTCAATTGCTATAATTTATCATTTTTATTTTGAATGTTAGAATGAAGTTTGAGACAGTGATAATTTAAGATTCTAATTATATGTGAAATATTTTTTGTGTGTTTCATACATTCAAATACCATACATTGTGATAAGTTGTTATAATTGGTAGCTTATAAGAAAATATACTATATGCTTGATTAAAAAAATAATTTTTGATGCTGTCCAGTTCTCTGAGCATCATTATCTAAAGAGACTATCTTTTTTCCATTGGATACTCTTTCCTGCTTTGTTCAAGAGTAGTTGGCCATATATTTGTGGGTCCATTTCTGGGCTCTCTATTCTATTCCATTGGTCTACGTGTCTGTTTTGCCAATACCATACTATTTTGATGATTATAGCTTTGTATGTAATACAGGCTAAAGTCCAGGATTGTGATGCCATCAGCTTTGGTTTTCTTTGTCAACATTACTTTGGATATTCAGGATCTTTTGTGGTTCCATACAAATTTTAGGATTGTTTGTTCTAGCCCTGTGAAGAATGCTGGCGATATTTTGATT